AGATTTAAGTTATTTTGTTTAAACATTTATGTTTTTGTGTTATAATTTGTGTTCATTCTGGAATGAAAGATGCATAATTTGTTTATTTCCTAATTTTTATGGTGGTTGCGAGATCGGTCAAATTTACGAAACCTGTACAGAGATTAATTACTGAAAATAACAAATGAAATATAAAGTTTTTTTCTTAAGAAACATTTGATAACTATTTGGACATTATAAAGATTTTACATGTGAAATTTTGAAATTTTATGATGCATAAAAGTATTTTTAATGTTAAGATGAAAATTATTTTGCATGATAAATAGACAATATGTGCAAAAAAAAAGCAGGAGAGAAACATTGCTTTACAAACCTCAAGTCTTAATTAAAAAAAATTTATATTTTGCGTATGAAAGCATTGTAATGCTTACTGATAATCTACCAAATTTTGTTAACATTCGCTTACTAATTTAAAAGTTATAGCATGAAACTATAACAAGCACAAAATGGTTACAACATTGTTTTGAGGGATTGAGCCTGTGCTGAAAGAGTTAAACTAATGACATGTAAATGCTACTGGAAGAGAATTATCAGTCCTTTTAGTTAATATTTTGTCTGTGAAACAACGTAAGTACTTTACAAAATTACTCAGAAATACCTGGATAGATGGCTTTCTAAAATATATAAACTTTTATGAATTTAACAACTGCCAACGTTTATTACAGCAATCCACTAAATTCAAACGTAATAAACTTACAATCACACCGCCCAATTTGAATCGTTAAATATCCTAGCTACTTATCAATGGTTTTATTTTTGTATAAAATTTTAATCTTTGAGGTTATTCACAGGAAAAATTGAGAAATTAAAGGGGGAAAATTCAGAATTTTAAGATGTTTTGTCTTTTTTGCTGTGGTACTTAACATTTTTATATAATGCAGTGGCTAATATGAAGGGCTTCATTATATACCAAGGCATTAAGAACCCAAGGATTATGAGGTGTGTAGAAGTAATTTTTCATATCACTATATGTTAGATATACAGGACTGTTCATTTTAAGTTTAATATGAGAGTATTATTTAGTTTATATTGTGCGAATGTTAAAGTAAGTTATTTTTAGAAGTGATAGTTATGGCAAGTTTGTTTACCTAACTGTTTATGAATCATTTATTGTGTAGTTCAGTTGTTGTGAATTGAAGTCACTTCACTCAAATCTTTTGTATTTTTCTCCTCGCTTTAAGTGAGTATTGTTACATCATAGTATCTCATAGTTTGTAGAACGTTCTAGGCCTCAGTTGGGCAACATATATAGGTGACCAAGTTAGTGGAAGAAGTGAAGTTAGTAAAAAGTGAAGATAAGCTATGTGCTTGTCAGTTCAGCTGTAAAGGGCAATATATAAAGTGAAAGTTTCATTGTTTGCATTGTAACAACAGAGATAGAAAAGAATAATTTATCTTGCCAATTAGGTTCTAAAATAATTGAACCAATGTGTGTGAACTTTTGATGTAAAAGCTTTGAATACAACTGTGGTAACCCATGGGGTAACATAAGGGAATTTATCACTGATTCTTTTGTGATAAAAGAGAAGAAATAATTTGTCTTGTCAGTTGGCTTCTAAAATAACTGAACCAGAATGAGTGGACTTTTAATGAAAGAGAATTATTTAAAAGTGTAGATTCAACTGTAAGGGAATTTATCACTGATTCTTTTGTGATAAAAGAGAAGAAATAATTTGTCTTGTCAGTTGGCTTCTAAAATAACTGAACCAGAATGAGTGGACTTTCAATGAAAAAGAGAATTATTTAAAGCTGTAGATTCAACTGTGATAACCTATAGTGTAAAGCATTTTTTTGTACATACATTTGACTTCTTTTGAATATATTATTTTAAAACAAGTGGATTGAGTGCTGTCCATTTATTGTTGAAATTTATTGCCAACAAATCACAGACACCTACTGTAAAAGAATCGTGGCCTTTTTTTTTCTTCAAAACCTGACATTTGGCAAGCCAGCCAGTATTAAACAGTGGTGAACAGCAGTGAAAGAAGACGTGATCAACAACAGAAGTAGGTCTATGTATGAACAACTGTAATAGTGGTGAAAATAGTTTAGAGATAACAATCACGCTAAATAACCATGTCGACTAACTTTGATAAGTAGATTGAAAGAGGTGAACATCTTTGACTCAAAGATGATGAACTACAAAAGTTTGTTAAACAACAACAAGAATTAGAGAGAGAAGAGTGACAACATAAGAGAGAGATGAGGAAAGATAGAGAAGAGAGGAATAAAGACTAAAAGAAGAAGAGGAGAGAGACTGGAAACTCACCCAACAGAAAAAAGGAAGGACCCAAGAATGACAATGGGGGTCAGGGCCAGCCGACCCAAGCTGCCCAAATTTGATAAATAGAAGGATGACATAGATGCTTTCCTGGAGAGATGTGAAGGATTTGCCAAAAGTTAAATCTGGTACAAAGGTGACTGGGCAGTTTGTCTCAGCCCCCTTCTCACAGGAAAAGGCCTGCAAGTATATGCAGAAGATGCCATGGACTATGACATGTTAAAAGTGGCCTTACTGAAACACTAGGAACTTATGAAATAAAGTTTTCATCAGAAGTTCAGAGAAGTCAAACCTGACACAGGAGAAACTGTGTTTCAGTTTGTGGCACATCTATGGTGATACTTCACAAGATGTGGATGAGATGATGAAGCTGGCAGAACAATGTATGGAAGCCCATGGAGGGAATGTAACTGGCAAGTCTAAGAATAACCAGTTAAGGTCGAAACCAGTGTTGGCTGACCAGAAGTAGGATTCTTCCAAAGGTGACAGGAGGTTAACAGCAAATGGTAGAAGAAATGCTATATTTGTAATAAAATAGTGTAAAGCTTTTTTTTTTCTTTGTACATATGTTTGACTTGTTTTGAATATATTATTTTAAAACAAATGGATTGACTGCTGTCTGATTATTGTTGAAATTTATCGCCAACAAGTCAGACACCTACTGTAAAAAATGGCGGCCTTTTTTTATTTTTCAAAACCTGACACCAAACAAAGTGAAATAAGGGAGTGCTTCTACACCATTGCTTAAGAGAGTGCACTTGCCAAAAAAATGCATTTAGGTTATTTATTAGTTTATTCATAGTTTTATAGCAATCAGTATTTAAGAAAAGGTTAACTTCTGAATTTTTTGTAGTTTCATCTTAAATTTCATATTTGTAAAATAGTTTACATAAGTTAAAGTATGAGATTATCATATATCATTAATCAGTGGTTTTCAAAAGCAACAAAGTACACACTATTTCTTTTTTTAATTTTTTAGACATGAACCATCCATAAGATAGCAAAAAGTATTTCTAAGTGAAAAAAAATTAACTTACTTAAACAAAAATAAATGTGGTTAAAATGTGATTTCATTAAAGATGTATGTTACAATAGTTATTTTGATTAATTATGGATTTTAAATCATGGATGCATAAAAATTACATTTAGCAGAATTGATGAGTTCAGGCATAAAATGAAAGGTCCTATAGGCAGGGATTTTTGCAGGTAAAGAGCATAATAATTTTAAATGCCATTTATTATCTATATTATATTATAGAAAAATAATGGTTAAAGTTTCTGTGGAAAGAAGAAATTAAGTTCTGAAAATGTGAGAGGTTTTTTTGAATTGGAATATTTAAGTCTCAATGCCCAGTGACATATCAATTTCACAGAAAATACTGGATATGAAAAGTTTAATCAGGGAGGGATTATACAGATCAATGCTTTAATGTTATTGCTATCTTATTGGATACTGTTAAGTTTGGTTTTCTTGGGGGTGGGGGCTGAGTAAAGTTTGAAGCAAGATTATAAGGTATGTTTTGCTGCCATCTGTATCTAGAATTTTTAACGACTTGGTTGTACTTAAGATTATTTCAAGTGTAGAACAGAACTGTAATAAATGCATTGGTAAGAGAATGTCAGTGGATGCTTTTCTCTGTGTTTAACTTTAGTAGTAAACTTTTACAAGCTGTAAGCATTTCTTCCGAAGTAGGCCAAGTTACTTGTAATATTCAATAAGGTATAGAACAAAGAAGATTTCACTCCCCATTTTCACTTTAATCCAGAATTAATAAATCTCAATAGTGTGTGTGAAGTACTTTTTACTGACATTCTGTGATATGCTTCCTTAACAAGAACATACATCACAATTCATGATTCACTGTACAGAAAAGGGCTAGATCATTTTTTAAGAAGTTTCTAGTGTCATAACTCTAGGATGTGTGTAACATGCACATTTTAAAAATTTGTATTTAATGTGTATTTAGTTGTATTTGAAATGCAAGGCTATTAACATTCATTAAGAAAAAGTTGAGATACATAATCATTTCCTTTTTATAATTTGAAAGCCTTTTACTTTAATATATTTTGTAATCCTTAAATAAACAAGATACAATTACTTCACTCATTTATGAAAATTAGCAGTAAAACTTCACAAAAAAAAACAATTTTTATTAGCAGATGGTACATTTTGCTGTGTAATGTTTTGATAGTGATGATTTCTCTTTAAAGGGTGGTAAGCCAATAACCAAAGACATGATTTGGGCAAGTAAACCATTCCGTTTGCTCACAGAGATGGGATTTAAGGTAATTTAAGTATGTTTATTTTTTATGTTGTTGTTGTTTATTTCTGTGGAAGTAATGACCAAAGAAATACTAATATTTTCTCATGAAAATTCTAAATATAAAGGTTATTTTTTTGCTTAAGATATTACTTGAAGTTAACTGTGGACCAAATCTACATTAAAATTTATGACTCAGTTTTTCTTAAATACGAAAAGTCCATAATTTAGTGCTGTATACATTGACAAATTACAACTATAAATCCTCTGATTATGCATACTTTTAAAGTTTATAGTGCATAAAAGCATTACACGATTAAATGATTATGAAAGCTTAATCATATTATAATAGAATGTTTAGGTTACATTAAAATGTAAGAATTAATGTTTAGTGAGGAAACTATTGACTGAATTATTAATTCCAAAATATAACCAGTAACTTTTACAGTAGGAAGGTTCTATTTTTAATAATTACAATGTTTCAACCCATAGTATCGATTTGTCATCATGACTTGATACTATGGGTTGAATGTTGTAATTATTATTGTAATTGTAATTATTAATGTTGTTATTGTATTTTTGAATTGAAAAAAAATGACTTTTAATAAAGTTAAAAAATGCTATATTTTGGTTAATGCAGTTATTTTATTGCTTCTTTCAATTTCCCACTTAGCCTAAAATGCTTAACCATTTTTGGATGTAAAAGGTGCAATTTTCATAATAATTAGAATAGCAAAATTCATCAAGTAGAGACAAAGGAGTTATGTGGAGCAGAAGGTGGTTTTCCTTAGCAATATATGTACAATTTATAAAAGATATAAATTAAGAATAAATAAATATATGGTAAGGTTTTGTGGAAATTAGGAACTACATATAATTGTCAAATTATGTATCTTTTGTTGATGTAAATTTCAAAAGTAATCAGTTCACTTCTATTAAATTCAAAACTTAAGTAAAAAAATAAATTCCATTTTAACAGTTGTTTACTCAAAAGTATTTGATATTTTAGCATTATACAGAAAGTTGAATGTGTTACATTAAAATATTTTGGAGCTTCATCATACCATTACAGTCCATTTTACCACATCTGGTTATGTTCTGTTTGACAACTATGCATCTTGACAATAGCCCGGTAGTGTAGTTCCCATTTCAGAAGGGTTTGTTATAAAACTGTCGTATATGAGGGCAGTGGTTTCCCATTGCCAGTTTTAACAGTGGTTGTACAGAAATCCATAGGTACTGTTTCTGACAATTTTTCTAGTCTTACTACAGTCTGTACTCTGCTGTACTTGGTGGGCATACCAAGCTGGTTAGATTGAAAACTTTGAATGTGATTGGCCAAGATTGCTGTTCTGTTTAAGAGTTTTGTATGTCATTGACTGTTTCTTTAAGATACTGTGTAACATTAGCATGGTTTGGACTTGTTTTCTTCTAGTGTAACGAAAATTCTCTGGAAATAAGGTATCAAAAATCAGGTGAATAAAGGTGTAAAATTGCCAACTAAACATTAATTGTACATTTTGGAAGTAAGTAAGGTATAAAAACATCAAAGTTGTAATTGACCTGTAACCGAGGTTATCCAAAGGACATTCTGGAAATTTCCTAAAAATCGAGCCCTGAAGTATTAGTTTTTATTTTTAAATATACTTCTGATTTGATTTTATTTTTATTCCAGAAGGATGATGTAGATCATGCCTTAAGGCAAAACAACATGAACCTAGAGGATGCTTTAAGTAAGTCTAAACTTTTGACTTTAATTAGTACAGATTTTGTTTCAAATTAATTTTTAAAAAAATGTATTAAAATATCATGATTTTCTCTGTTTATTTCTCACAAGGCATTTGCCTAATTATGTCTTTAACAACCAAGTAGAAAAATTCATTTGAGACCAAGAGAAAAATATATTTGAATAATCTTTATTACAAAAATAAAATATGCAAAATACATAATGAATAATGCATTTATTTTGTGGCAATTTTAAAGATAAACTACAAATTCAGTTGATCTTTCTGAATGAACATTGACTTGAAAAATACCCTTCTCAAACCTCATCTGTAATCTAAACCAAATGAACCATTTCATTGACTAGTCAAACACTTCAACAGAATCAGCACAGCCTGAAGAGACAGTAGTTAATAACTATATTTTCATGCTTGTTGATATTCTTCAGCTTTAAGTTTTTGTATCCAATAACAAATGAACTGTTCACTTGCACAACAATGCAGATGTTACAAAAAATGGTCTTTGTGGAACTGTTGTGTGTTAATCATTTTATGACCATGTTTACCCATGTTGCATTAATTTCTTATGGAACTATCTGGTGTAGAGCTGTCTTTGTTGAAAATTGATTAAATTGTTTTGTTTTGTTTTTTCCTTTTCAATCAGAACCCCAGAATAATTTGTATAAAATTCATAACTATCGAGAGACTGTAATGATGAAATAAGTTTTTTTTATTTTTACCTTAATAAAGTTAAGCAGAACATTTTTGGACTCTTTCTAATCATTAGCATAAAATTTAATTCTGTTTTTCCTATTTTGACAGAAGTTTTGTTAAAGATCATAAATAAATGATATTGAATATGTACCACTCAGATTTATAAGAAAACAGTTTTGAATAATTTATAATAGAAATCAAACCATTTGAAGTGAGAACCCATTAGTGCCTACAAAGAACTTGAAAGATCAATGTGTGTCTTGGATTGGTATAACTTGCATTTTAAAAACAATATTGACAAGTGATTAAATAGGTTATTTATGATGATTAACCCAACAATCAATCAGTAATTAATACCTCCAGTTATTGACAGCTACAAGGTAATTATTTTGGACACTTTGAATTCATCTTGGGTTTTGCTTACTTATAATATAGGAAATAATTTTTTGGATGGTGTAACAAAAAATTTCCAAATGAATATTTTTGATTAGAATAGCTTTTCTTTAATAGTTAGCAAACTTTGTGATAAGCCCTGAAAACACTGGTACATAAGAAAAAATCTAACAGATATAATCAACAAAAAAACAAACAAACTGCTTTCAGATGTCCTTATATGTATATGTACTTGCATACTTAAAATTAATTTGACTTCAAAGATTTTTCCTGTTTAGATCCTCAGTAAATTGATTTATCATAATAGGTGAACTACATGTTGGATCGAACCGAGATGTGCATAATGTGGCAGATATAGACAATTATAGTAGTGTGGGGCGAGTCAAGTTGAGACATGGAGGTGTGTCAGATGAATTTGGTATGATTGACAATTCCATTGACCATTCTTTTGGTCCAGTTAACTTCCATGGTTCTACCAGCTTCCAAGGGCCACAGATTTGTGGATATGGTGGTGTAAATCAGGGATTCAAACCACCTATTAAGGTACGATTGTCAGTTTTGATATACTTCTAGTCAGTCTGATATTAATTGGAGTACGAGTGTTTTGAGAAAAACTTCTGTATTGTATACTACATTATTATTATTTTTTATCTTATCTGTATGTTATTCCTGGATGAACAGTACTCCAAGATTTGGCTGGCAAAAAACAACTATTTAAACAGAACTTTTGTTAATCTTCTGGATTTCTTAAAGCACTGTGTTGTCTTGTGTATAAAAATGTGGCACAATATATATAAGAAAACATTCAAAATATTTCTCTTCACAGATACTATTTCTTTACAGGATTAGTTCACCACATGCACTTACCTTAACCACAGTGACTTTGTGTAACTCTTAAGTGCACATTTGCACATCATTATTCTCATCTCCTTCAATAATTTTGAGCTAGAAAATGTGTAGAAAATAATGTTAAAACATAAGTTTGCAACTCCAGTTTCTGTATTGTTTGAGCTTGTAATCATTTTCTACTTCCCATATAAAAACTTGTGAACTTCATGTTTATAAACAGTTCTTAATCTGTATTTTGAAGTATTTATTGCTAAGTGTGAGACTTACGTAATTCTGAATTGCATGCTTGTTTGTTTTTTCTGTCACTGCAGAACCCAGGCATCAATAGCAATACTCCTAGTCTACTTAACCCAGCAATAGGTAGCCAAGCATCTAGTCTCAGTATGGGTAACAGTATTAGTGGTTTGAATCCTTCTTTGGTTCAGAAAATATTGCAACAACAGCAGCAACCTCCACTATCATTTGGTTCTGTAAGTAGCTCTGTTTGTTTATTATGATATTAAACTTATCTCATGACAAATTTATTCTAGTAAATTTGTGTCTTTAGTCTCTAACCATACAAGCTGTTATTTGTTTGTAAAATGAATTAAGAAAAAGTGAAAAATAACATTTCTCTTGTAAAAAGAGAAGTTGCTACAGAGATGAATATTCAGGTGTGCTATATTTCTTACAATAATCCAGTAGTAGATTAATAAGTTCTGTACATTAATAGTATTTATTTTGCTTGGAAACTTTATTCTGCAACTACAAAACTTTGAAGTTTAAATGTGAACGTAACTGTTTCTATTTATTTTTGTAAGCTTTTGTTTTTCATATGACTCATTCAGTATTGAAATTATAAAAATTAATTTGATGATTTAAATGTAATGTATGTTACAAACCAATACTAAATAAGTTTTTTTTTAACTTCTTTGATAAGATGCATTCTCACATGTACATAAAAATTCCTGAAAAGTATTGTGAAGTTTTCAAAAGTCACAGTTTATCAAAATAAAGAAATATAATGAAAAGAAAACTTTGAATAGAATAATACATATTTTAATGTATTTTGTTACTTCTTGGTGGAGTAATTTTTCACATTATATTTTACACAGGCTACTTTTCAGAATGGTCTAGGTAGCCAGACTGGCAGAATAAACCAGCAAAACTTGCCATCAACAGCCCAATTGAAGCATTTGGTCCAGCAGATTCAAATGGCTGTTCAAGCAGGCCACTTGAATCCACAGGTAGATCTGTTACAATTTTACAGTAGTTTTGTTTTTAATATTTAAAAAGGGCCATTTAATTAGACTGCCTTGATTTTGTATAGGTGCTTTCTTTTTTAACGTATTTTCTGACACTGAGTGAAAACAAAAATATGGAAGGCTAAGTAAAAAGTTAATTTTCCTGCATGTAGATGTTCATACAGTAATTTTATTGACGTGTCTGATATTTTTATCATCAAAGCTGCACCCCATTCTCTTCTATGATATAGGATATATGCTGCAAAATAGCCATTTTGCAAGGAATAATTTGTGAAGTTTTCCAGTAAGTTTGAATATATGCTAATTAAGGTTAGATTATGTAAAATATATAATGATATTAATATAAAAATGTTTCATGAGGCACAAACGTGAGCAGCTCAGACTTGTAGTAACTCGTGGGTGATTTAATTGAATAGCGTAACATGAGCTCCGTGTTCCCCAGTAGAATTACAACTTATAATGGCATGAATAGTAGAAGTTAGTTGTTCAAAGGATACTCAGAGATCAATAAAACAAGAAGATTGGAATATAAATAGATGTCTAGTATTACAAGTTTAAAGTTGCTTAGGATAAAGGAATGTAGTTTCATGTTACAATTTTAAGTCATTCTAGAAATAATTAATGGTAATTTAGATTTATTTTGATTTTTTTTTGGTGGTCACGAGGTCAGTCAAATTGACCGATCCCCTTATAGATAAAACAAATAAAATATAAAGTTTTACTGAAAACAAATGATTGAAATGTACTTATGAGGTTTGAGATTACACAAATGGTGTTTGAGATTTTGGTGACGAAGAATAGTCTTTTTAATCATAACATGAAAATCACTTCACTCTTGGACTAGGAATGAAACAGACTTGATATATTCACAAGCAAATTTTTAATAAAAATACTTCATTAAAAAATCCAATTTGTTTTATGTACAAGAGACTTGTAATGTTTACTAAAAGTCTACCAAATTTTGTGAAGATACACATAATGCATTAAAAGTTATAGTATAAATACTTAACGTGTGTAAATGTATATATGAACTTGTGTATTTTATACCGAGCCCGTTATAAAAGGGTAATGGGTACCGTGGTTTAAATTAATGGGGTCAAGGGTTTATTGACTTATAAACTTAAAACCTAGGGTTCAGTTTCTTGCATTGACAAAGTTCAGATAGCTCATTGTGTAACTCTCTGCTAAAACAGCAATTTCAAAACTTGTATCCATAAAATCTGGTTTTTTAATAGTTTTTCAGTGTTTAAAATACTTTCTAGTGCAGTTATGGACTACAGTAAAAGAATAATTCTCTTGCAGTAGTCTTTGTGCAGTATCTATGAAGCTTATATTTGTAACATGATTTGTATAATTTTGTTATTACATTATTATTTTCAGTATATGAAATAACTTCTAAATTAACATTTATAAAAATCAGTCTGAAAACTCTTAAGGTTTTTCTGTCAACCTAAGGTAACTGCCCATTTATGAGTTAATTTTTTGAAAATTAAAATTCTCCTTCTAGGTTTCTATGTAGAAATTATGGTCTGTCGACTTTTATATTCTTTTATAGTACTTTTACATAACATTTCAAGGATATTTACTAGTTTTTTTTTTGTATATTTGAGGTTTTTATTCATTAAATGTTGAAAGTGTTCGTTACTTTAGGTTACAGGTGGGGTTTTGGTTGTTTGAAAATATAAAGTAATGTGATGATTTGTAATTGCAATCAGTTAATAGAGTTTGAAATAATTTTATATTTCAGTATGAAAACAGTTTTGTTATTGAAAAACCTTTTTTTTTTTTAAGTGATTTCTCTGCATGAATTTACAATTTACAGTTTTCATGTGGTTATCTTTAGTATTGGTGTATGTATGAACTGTTTGGTGACTGAAGTAATTAATCTTCCTCATAACCCTCTGTACATGATCTGAAAATAAGTTTACTAAATTTAGGAACATGCTTGTGTAATGAAAAATTTGGTGAAAGGTATGGTAGTTGCTAAGTGGTGTGTATGTGCAACTTTGTTGAGCATTAATTTCAATACTTTTAAATTTTCTGTTAAGTATGTTCCAGTTTTTTCTTGCATGAGGTCTAAAGGCATGTAGTGAAGTGGGTTTTAGAAAAAAAAAAAAACAAATAATACAAATAGCAAAATGCTCCATAGTAGAGTTTTGAAACTAGAAGTTTAACTGACAATTTCAGTGAGCTTATTGGCTCTCTCTTAGTTATTATGTTCTAAAAGGTTTTAAAAAAAGCTTATTTCTCTATTCAAAATAATTTTGCAACTTACTTTTTCATTCCCAGATTTTGAACCAGCCATTAGCTCCTCAGACTTTGCAACTGTTATATCAGTTGCTGCAACAGATCAAAGTACTGCATCAGTTTCAACAGCAGCTGATCCAGCCTCAGTCATTAGGAAAGGGAAATCCTTCCTTGCAGCTGAATGTTCATATCGCACAAACTAAACAAAGGATTCTTAACCTCCAGAACCAGATAACTGCTCAGCAGGCCCTTTTTCTGAAGCAGCAGGTGAGGGCTGACATATATCAAACAGTACAGTAAAATAAATGCAATATTGTTTGAAGCAGTAGGCAGGAACTGTTGCATAATGTTTTCTAAAGAATCAGTGGGGGATGCTGGAATTGAACAAATATAAAGAAAAATTAGTTTAATATGGAAATATCATGCATTTTTTTCTTAATGTGATAACATTGAACTTTTCTATTTGCCTGTTTAATTTTTAGTATTTTATTATTAGTCTTGTATATATTTTTGTAGTTAACTTACAAAAAAAGCATAAGTTTTTCACTTACCTTGTCTAGTTGTAATTTTGTGTTAACCATGAGCAAACCATATCTTTTGTAATATGGATCTATATAATTCTGATTTTTCATTTTTCAAACAGCAGTTCCCTCACCAGCCAGTCATATCAAGCTCTCAGCCGTCCTCTAGCGATCTCTTTAAGCCCAGTCTGGATCCCATGTCCACTATTAATCCTGACTTACGTGACCTGTCACTGAAAGACACTCCACTTGGCCAGTCTCAATCCCATCTTCCTCATTGGAAAAATTCTTTCCTTGAAAAAGATGATATAGGAACTAATCCAGGTGCTAATTGTGGGGGAAGTTCCAATGGTTTTGGAGACTTTAGTCGGGCACCAGGAACCATGGCAAAGCCCACAACATCATCTGCACTCTCATCATCTTCTTTATCTTCACCACATTCCAGTCCAAATTTGCACCCTCTTCTGACTCAGGGTGATAGCACGTGGTCTAGTCTATCAGGCACTCATAGTGATTGGCCACAGCCCTCACCATCTGTAACTGCCAACACCACTACAAATAGCACTGTTGGAAGTAATCCCAGTACTCCCACTAGTAATTCTACCAAAGGAATTACTTCTAATGGCACTTCCTCAGGGGAAAGAAAAGAATCATTACCTACCACTTCTCCAGCAAGTAGTTCAAAAACCCAATCAGCATACAACCTGACTGATTTAGTAGCTGAGTTTGAGCCTGGAAAGCCATGGAAAGGTACTTCACAGATGAAAAATATTGAAGATGACCCACATGTCACACCAGGGAGTGTGGCACGATCTCCTCTATCTTTGAGCACAATCAAAGATTCAGACCTTTTTAGCTGGCCAACAAAGTCTAGCCCTAGCAGCACCAATGGCAATGATGTCTTGGTCTCTTCACTAACATCTTCTTTGCCTGGTACTAATAACTGCTGGACTTTTAACCCACCTACCTCTCAAAGCAGGTAAACCTATAAAATTGTTAATTTTTTGCTGTATGTTTCACATTTATTTCACTATTAGATGCATGTTGTTAGAAAGTACTCAAAGTATTGTGCATATGTAGAGTGAGTGTGTGTATAGTTTGCATACAAATGTGTATTATACTTTTATTTAATTGTATATGGTTATTTCTAACCATAAGTTAGATAAAATAAATAGTGGGTTTAAGAAACTCAGCCCATAGTCAGAATAGTGCAAAGGAGGATTCATAATTCTCAGAAAACAGAGGTTTTTGCTTTCATATTCGTTTGGTATAACAACAATCTCAAAGGCATATGATCCTTAGTACTATAATTGTATTTATTTGCTGTATATGAGTAATGTGAGAGAAGTGGAAAGTAAAATCACATTGATAACTTTTTGTAATTGTAACCTGCATTGACATATAGCTGTATGCATTCAAGGTTAATTTAATGTATTTTGTGGTAGCCAAATGCTAGGAAAGTCAGAAATGTATTAGCTCTGTGCAATTTCTACTACCATGTTACTATACTTTTACAGTGCTAAACAGTTAAGGCCCAAGATGACATGTCTTACAGACACGTAACCTAAGTGATGATAATTTTTATAAAAATTACATTGAATCCATCAAAACATTAAGAATGATGGAGAAGAGTGTTTTCAAAAATAAAGCAAACATTCATACTTTCAAATAGTGTATTATGTTTCAAAAGTCCCATTACTGAAATTTAGCCTTACCAACTTGATATACTGAAAACATTTGGGTAAATTACGTAGAAGAAATGATACATAGCCAATCACAGAATTTTAATAGATGAAAAGAGTAACATCTAAGCTTTTAAACATTGCTTAAATGATTTTTTTTACGAAATTCTAACACTGGGATACAAGGAAAAAGTAATAACCCCAAGATATAGTGGTGAACAAATGCTTGACTACTTGATCAAATAACACAATGTACAGTTTTGGTTAATTTATATTTGTGAAGGAACATTCTACAAATATTGAAGGATTATTGGATAACACTTGTTCATCATAGTTGCCTCTTCCTGCCTTGATTTCTGGCTAAAAAATGAATGACACCATACTGAACTTGCACTTTTCCTTCTAATTTTGTTGGTCAGAATTATTAGGATTGTTATTTATATGTAGTATGTTTTGCATCAGATTACAGAAACTATGGAGAATATAGTCAACTACAATATTAATAAAAACAACCATAGGCCCTTGCTGAAGAGGAACAGCTAAATTGCACTTATTGCTGTATGACAATGCAAAAAAAAACCGTTTGAAAAACAGGTAATAAAGGATAAATTAACATATTTAAGTAAAACTGAATATAGTTTTATTTACATTTGTTAACTTGTTCATTATTACCTGTTCTCTGAATTTTTTCTCCATGTGTCTTGTGGAACAATGGTCACTCAAGAAGTGTATGCATACTATGCTGAATTAATGTTAACTCTTACAATTATGGGACAAGATAGCCATGTATAATGGTGAAATAAATGATAGATTTGGCTAGGTAAATCATTATCCATGTTAGAGTAAAGCCAGTCTGCCTTATGTCACAAATTCCTCCAAAACCCCTTTGTGACAAATTGTAGAAGGCTTGAAACTTACCAAAACATACTTGCCTCCATTCACACTTATGGCTACTACTTGACTGCCAGGGTTTCTATTGCCCTTGACGATATTTGTCTCCTGACACTCTTCATCTATATCAATGTGCCCTCTATCCTGGTACTGTATATAAGTACCTTGTTCAGATATTATCACTTTTTTCTTGACCAAGTATCACTAATGCTATGTGTTACATAGTTGATTTTCGTTAAAAAAAATTTGTTTGACAAGCCAATTTACGGTATGAATTCCCGGATTATTATTTTTGGCAGAGAAACAAGTTGGGTCTCTCATGCCCCACATCTGGTATCTAGTGTCGCACAACAATCGCGAATGAGGTCACTCTCAGTTGAGACTGTCAGTGATCTTATGCGTAGTGAGATGGAGACATGTATTCGGTTCCATGGTGTTCTTCTGGGAGGTATCTGAGGCTGCAATTGAGGGAGATCCTTGTCATTCTGGTAAGAATTCATATTTGCTTTTTGATGCTCCTTCTTTTGGTCTATTAGCTTTTCAGTGGATACAGCAGATAGCCCAACTTATCTGACTAAATGTTGTTCCAATCAATGGTAATCAACAGTCCTCTTTCAGCATGGGCTCTGTTCCTGGGACCGACTTCGAAACCATTTTGTGCATGTTATAGTTTTCATGCCATAACTTTTAAATTAGTAAGCAAACGTTAATGAAATTTGGTACAGTATCAGTAAACATTACAGTGCTTTCATATGCAAAATATCACATTTTTTTTATTAAGTCTTAACGTTTGTAAAGCAAGGTATTTCTTATACCTTTTTTCTTTTCACATGTTGCCTATCTAACATGCAAAGTAATTTTCATTTTATGATTAATAATAGTTTTATGCATCAGAAAATTTTGAACTTTCGCATGCAAAATCTTTATAATGTTCAGAGAGTTATGACTTTCATTCTAGAATGAA